GTAGCACCTCGAGAAGAATCCAGAAGAAAAGCAACGTGGCCACTCGAGCATGAAGACAATCCGCATGCATCGACACAAATAAATATGCTATATATATATATATATAGGTATATTTATTTACTTATTTGTTTATTTACTTGTTTATGTGAATATATATATATATATACATATATGTGAACCCATCCATCCATTCATCCATGTATCCGCGTGTGCATACATGTCACAGTACACACAAAGGCCACCAGCCTCCATCGTGGTCCTTTTGGGGAAGCCTGTACAATTCTACTCTTAATACGGCACCCTAAAAGTTGGGAACCAAAAGGGACCCTGGTGTTGACAACCACCCATGTCTATGTATCTATGTATATATGTAGATTATGTACATATACAGATATACTTATATACACCTAGATATAGATATATACTCTATATATATATACATATATGTGTGTGTGTATTTACATGACATGCAAGTAAGTAAGAAAGTATGTATGTATGTATATACGGACGAACGTGTGCATGCATGTATATGTATGTATGTACGTACGTATGTACGTCGGACACGTGGGCGACTACTCGACATAGCGGTCCATACTCTTGAGCGGCAGTTTGTCCGAATGCACCCAGCGAAAAACAAAACCACTGGAACTCGGAATGCCGTAGGCACATCATCGGGGAGAGAGCGACCTTACTGTAGATCGTGAAGCTGACCTGAGAAAGCAGCTGCAGGATTGAGTTCATACAGAGGCTGCAGGACATGGTAGCTGATGATGGTTTCCGACTACAACTGACCCTGAACCTTCCCAAGCACACCCAGGACTCGATCATGCCACGGACATCGTGGACTGCATTCGCCCGCTACCCCAAACCCGAGGTTGCCATCAAAGCTGGTAACATCGCCTGAAAATTCTCGCATACAGAACGTGCAGGACACACACTGCCTGGTCCACGCTGTTGGCTTGTGTTCGACTTTTACGGGGTTCCTCGGGCCTCTGCTGCAGCAGGTGATTAGGCTGCTCTTGTTTCGGATCACGGTTCGCTCAGTGTGCCTGTAGCGCTTGTGACTGTTGTGGTGTGGCCTCTTGTGGCGGTCAGGGTGGTCATACTGTGACTGTGGCAGCTGCAGTGATGGTGGTGCGGTGGTGGTCGTGTCAACATTCGAAAGCTACCACCATGACCATATTCCCGATGCTGCAGATCAACGATGCCGTGCACGTTGTGGAAAGTATGGTGAGTATGGTGCCTCGCGTCTGTACAGCGTGATGCCTGTCCCAAATCCTGAACACTTTGGTGAACATGGGCGCCGCAGATTGGAATCTGGCTAGCGTCAGAACTCACAAGCACACCCCGGCATCTCCGAAAACTACAAAACACATCCATTCTACCTATGTGGGGGTTTCCGAAAATAGGGGACCCTGATATAGCACCCTAAATAATAGGATCCTTATTATAAGGACCCCAAAATAAGGTACCCCCCCCTATTTTCGGAAAGTCCCATGTGTAAGAAACGTGTAAAAAGAGAGTGCTCAGAAGACCAGGCCTGCATGAACTGGCCCAGGGTGCTGATCAACTTACCTGGGCCGTTTTCTGTGGGTAGGAATTAAGATTAGGTGGGGGCTCCTTGGAGATATAGACCCTCTCAATAAGGTCCTTTTTAAGAAAGCAAGAAGTAGGGTTCAGAAGGGTCCCCTTTAAGGGGTCTCCCTCATACTACCTAGGATGTGGGGGTCTTCTAAACAGCACTCCCTCCTCCTGGCTTCCATGCATACGACACAAGAAGTTCAACAAAAATGCCAGGAACGGCCTAGTGGCCGCTGTCGAACTGCCAACGGGCCGGGAGGAGCTTGCTGAGGAAGCTGCATACGATGAGCCAGAGAAGGGCGCATGGCAGCATGGCGGCCGTCATGTGGTAGCCAGTCACCGGCGAACTGGAGACACAATCGAAGCTAACCGCCTGCAAGTCCAAGGTAAAAAGGCTCATTAGATCAAACATCCATTGAAGCTCGGCTGGCCAGGAGAAGGAGATGTATCCGACGATGCCCACGTTCTGAAGCATGCTGATAGTCATGGCCAGCGCACACGAGGTGGCCAGCATCGTGGTGGCCTTGGCGGTTTGCTTCATGTTCATCATGTAGTAGAGTGCCGGAATGGTGACCACGCCGACGATGCCGGAAAGGAGCCAACCACCAAGGCTGAATGCAGTGCAATCTGCACAAACATCCGTATTCCACGCTTGGCCGGCCGGGCACTGGGTGCAGGGGATGCCTATACGCCCCCCGGCACATGTCCCGGGCAAGCCACCGGGACACGACTCGATAGGAAGACATCTGTAGACATCGAAGGGCGCGGCAGTGTCCGTGAAGAATCCATTCTGCACCACAGCAGTGCCAGCTCCGTTGCATGTCAAACCCTCGGAGCACGGAATGCATGCACCTGCCTCGTAGCGGGTGTTGCCAGTGCAGACAACACACTGTCCCTCGTACAACTCACCCTGGCATAGGCAAGCATCTGAATCGAGGGCACCCCTAGAGAAGGTAGTCAGCCCAGGCGGGCACTCGGCACAAGTTGCCAATCCTCTCTGTGCTGCATAGCGGCCAATCGGGCATTGCATGCATCCAGTGGATTCTGACTCGTTTGCAAAGAACCCCTGACTGCAATCCTCACATCCATCTGCCCCTAGCACATTGTTGAAACTCCCCGGGGCACAAGGATGGCATGCTGCCATGCCCGAGACATTGGTGAACGTGCCCACACCGCACGGCTCACACTCAAGCATCCCCGCTGATGCATACTTGCCCGCCTCACATGCGATACATCCAAGCTGCACCGAGAAGACGGTCCCTGCGGCGCACTGAGCAATTCGGTCCGATGGAACCCAAGCAGCACCCAATGCGCAAGTGCCGGTGCTGCATGGAACCAGCCGGGTGTCGTAGGGGCTCCAGACCACATCCGCCTGCCACCGTCGGGCTCTGTTAGTGATAACAGCATACGTTACAATCCAAACTCGGGTCTTTTGCATTATGGTTGGCCGTCTATGTCGCTTATGGGATGTAGAAAGTGAGCACTAGGCCTGCCACAAGATTCCAGAGCTTGACCGCTGTGCCAGGTCAGTAAACTCGTTGCCCGGTCCGCCGGTAATCTGCCGGATGAGCTGCACGCCATCCTTAGTTGCTGAGTTCATAAGCCCAGAAAAGTGTACACTGTCAGTTTTATAGTAGGTAATATTAATCAAAAAAGTGTAAAGTGTATCCACTCAGCTACTGAGCATCGCGATCGCCAAAGGACGGAGGGATGGTCGTCGGCTCGATGCTGTTGAACTGTCGGACACGCCCCGTCAAGCCCATGTAATCCTTCCCCAAGGACATTTCGTACAAGTCCGAACGAGACGTCGTCGTGCCAAGCTCGGAAAGCGAGTGGTTTTGCTCAATCAGGTAGGCGTGGAGCAGGGAGGTCAAGTGCCAAAGGCCATCATAGAAGTAACCAGTCCACACATAGTCGCAAGCACCGACTCCGTTCGCAAACTGCTGGCAGGCAGTGTTGTAATAGTTGGAGATGTCTGCAAGCCTTGTTCCTGACAGGCCATGCAGCTCCTTGGGTACTGTTGTTGAACTGATAAAATGAACAAAGCTGACTTAGGTTGCATGTTCATGTTTATGCAGAGGGAAGATTGCATTCAACCCTAATCTAGAATCTGGACCCTCAACCCTAAACGCATCAACGACCAAGGTTCCTGTGTGCTTTGAATCGGTGACCGGCCGCTGATCATGAGACCACCGGAGACGCGTGCTAGCTGCTCAGCCGTGCAGGGACACTCCTTGGACTCTGTGGGCTTGGCTTTTAGAAGCTTTCGGGCTGTGCGCAACTGGGGCTCAATTTGGATTTTAGGTTTATAGGGTTTAAGTTTTTGCGCTACGGCTTAATAGAGTGTAGGATTTAGGGTACATGAAACGCTGGTTTAATCCAAGTCTGCGATTGATGGCTTGGGGTGTCTGGTCTAGCTCCACAAGGATCTACCTGTAGTCTCCATTGTAGTTCCTTTTTGGGAATACCTTATAACATCCTTAATATATAATTGGTTAAACCAAAAAAAGGAACTACAATGGAGACTATAGGTAGTTCGCAACGGCCCAGCTAAGGATGCAGGTCATGGGCTGACTTCATGCAGGGAGTCTCAGACGAGTGTATGTGACTGAAACCACCCTGCTGAGGATCACAGGCTCCCGTCTAGCATAGCCCCTCTTGTGCGGCTGGCCTCGAAACGAACTGTCTAAGTTGAGAAACGGCAGCTTGGTGAGTCATGTGAGTCGTTGGTTGCGCCGACTGAGGGTTTAGAATCCCCTAGGCTTCCAAGGACCTTA